TATATATATATATATATATATATATATATATATATATATATATATATATATATATATATATATATATATTTATAGTATGGCACATACTGGGACCATCCATAAGCGATATACATATACGTATACATTGATCTACATTAACATTCTAATGTGTACTTCATAATGATTTTTTTATATATATAAGCAGGAAAGTAAATATATACAATCTAAGTTTTCTTTTATGTTTTGGCATTTATCGGTACCACTAAAATATACTTTCGAAACTTATTATAAACAATATACATAACGTGTAATGCAGTATACATGTTTTGCAGTAGCCATATGTATTATGTTATGCAGTTATTAATGGTTTGTATATTTTATGTTAACGATTATATTAAAAAAAGATGTTTTATATGTTATGTAAATTAACAGGACCGCGTAACAGGACTTTTAATTACTTTAAAATATTAAGTGATATCGACTTCGCGTTGTCTAATATATATATATATATATATATATATATATATATATATATATATATATATATAAAGGGCATGTAAACTCCATTATTATAAATCTTTTCTGCGATGCTGATTAATTGTGCCGTGTGTGACCGGCTTCTCGCAGTTTGTAGCCGGCATCGCATCATCGTTGTTAGTCGATTCGATCTCGTGTGATAGTTCGTTCATTAGTTAATTGGCGGTTAATTATAATCAAAGCTGAGCGCAGAGCACAGACATAATTCGTCTGAATGAAAGGTTAAGAGGTTATGTGTCGTGTGATATTCAAGTTAATAAAATGTTCAGATATAATTTTGGCTCAAATGTGGAATAAATAATTTATTAAAATAGGATATGGGTTTTATTATTGTGTTGTGTAATATCAGATAAATATCGTCAACATGCTTGTCAGAATGAGAACTAAAAAATAACTTTTGAAACTTTGTCAGTTTGTATTTAATGCGTAGAATATAAATCTGCAAAAAAGAAGTGTCGCTCTCAAGCGGATTAAAAGTTATGAAATGTTGAAAAATAACACTTATGGGATTAGGAAATCTGTCGTGTCGATGATGCGATGTGGGGTTAGGAAATCTGTCAGCGCATCATAACATTTCATAACTTTTAACCCGCTTGAGATCGATACTTTTTCTTGTAGAATCGTGTTCTACGCATCAAAATACACGATCTGACGAAGTTTCATGCAAATCGATGAGGAGACTCCTCTCCTTCATAATTATTACTGGTTTGAGAAATTATTTTGACATCATAAATAAGATTCAGTATGTTGACATTCCTGGAATATCTTAAAGACATCCCTTTTTGAGAAGTCATTTTTGTGATATCTTTCTGTTCTTAAAAAACGGCGCATTAGATAACATTTTGTTGTCGTTTCGACAGCTTTTCGAAGCCTCTTCATATTATCAGATTCCAGATTCAGATATATTTTAGAGATGTTTTTGATAACTTTTTGCTCAATGGGATGCTTTGTGTCGTTTTTATTTTTTGTACAATTATAGTTATGTAAAGGAAAAAAGGAAGAGAAAAAAGAAAGAAGAAGGAAAAAGGAAAAAACGGAGAGCGAAAATAGAAAATAAAGCACAGACAGATGATTCGAGTGACAGGTAGTCCAAATGTCAGCTTAGGGTGTTAATTTATGTATTGAATTATATTTCTAATGTTTTTAATATTTTTATTGTTTCCTAATATTTTTTGTTTATATATATATATATATATATATATATATCATTACGACTATAATATTTAATAATATTATAGTCGTAGTAACGACTATAATATTTAATTTTTTGGGAAGTATGTGGAAGACATTCCATCTAATTCTATTCTATTTTTCTACATTATTTTCGAAGAAAATCTAATGTCCTTGAGATATTTTTGTATGTTTAATGAAAATATCCGAAGGCTGAAAAATTTGGGTACTTTTTGACATTTTTACTTTTTGCTATTATAATTATCAAGGAGAAAAAAGAAAGAAAGAAGAAAAGAAGAAGTTAAGAAAGGAAGGATAAAGCAAGAACAGAGAATAGAGCACAGGCAAAAATATATAAATGAGACAACACACACACACACATACACACACACACACACACACACACACACACATCAGTGTATCATTATAGTATAATTTTTTCTTAATACTAATTTAATTTCTCAAGTTTTCTTATTTTTCCTCTTTATATTTTCTATAACTTTTAATTTTTCATTCTGCCATATCATTCTCTATTATT